AATCCACCTCTGCCATAGACCTATGAAATGATCTGGGTCTAAGCATCCACAATTCATCTAGGTGGTTCTGTGTTATTTATTTTCATGATTGTTTGTTTTATTGTGTCAATCTTCCACAATTTATTAATCAATTCTACTGTTAAAAACTATCATTTTTCATAATAGAAAAAAAATACCATGGTCTGTGCTGCCATGAGCTTTCTTCTTATTGCTCCCGGTGCACAGGTACGAAATTTTCCCCATGGCATACCTAGGAGTAACACTGATGGGTTGTGTGGTATGCAAATGTTCTGCCTTTCAAGATAATGCCCAATAGTTTTTCAATGTAATGGTACAAGTCTTCTTTGTGGAGTGTTATTATGAAATACATGGAGAGAGTGAGTTAAGGGTAGTACAGGTAATCAAATCTTCGAAATATTTTGCCGTCCTGATGTCAAGTTAGGAAGACTTCCACTGCTGGAGCATCAAAATTCAGTCTTGAGATACTCTTCAAATACTAAATCACCTTACTCCCTGGTCCTTAAAATAAATGAAACCAATAGACACACCAATCTAAGTCATCTACCACTGTAAGAAAACCTAACACAATGATTTTTAGGTAAAATTTTTCATATTAAAACACTAGGATATGTATCTTTACTATATAACTATTGAGTTGGGGGTATGTGTGTATGCTCTAGTCAATTTCTATTTATACAGATTAACCCAGTGCTTAAATCTATGCATCCATTTAATAATAGTATTGTTCCACCCAAAAGAAATTGATAATAGACTATCAGTTCAATGAATGTATATTAACAACCATTAATTTTCTATCCCTCTTTTTCAGTGTTTCTGCAACCCACTGTGACTTCTAGAAGTACCAAACTGTAGTACAGTCACACATCACTTAACGACAAGGATACATTCTGAGAAATGCATCATTTGGCAATTTAGGCATTGTGTGAACATCACAGAGAGTAATTGCACAAACCTAGATGGTATAGGCTACTACAAGCCTAGGCTCTATGGTATAGCCTGTTGTTCTTAGGCTACAAACCTGTAAAGCATGTTACTCTACTAAATACGGTAGACAACTGTACCACAATGGTAAGGATTTGTGTATCTAAACATATTTAAACACAAAAAAGGTACGGTAAAAGTACAGTATAAAAGATCAAAAATGGCACACCTGTATATGGCACTTACCATGAATGGAGCTTGCAGGACTGGAAGTTGCTCTGGGTGAGTCAATGAGCAAGTGGTGAGTGAATGTGAAGGCTTAGGACATTACTGCACACTACTGTAGACTTTATAAACACTGTACACTTAGGCTACACTAAATTTATAAAAAAATATATTTCTTTCTTCAATAATAAATTTACGTTGTCTTACTTTAACTTTTTTACTTTTTTCTTTTTTTTTTTTTTTTTGAGGAAGATTAGCCCTGAGCTAACTACTTCCAGTCCTTCTCTTTTTTGCTGAGGAAGCCTGGCCCTGAGCTAACATCGTGCCATCTTCCTCTACTTTATTCGTGGGATGCCTACCACAGCATGGGGTGCCAAGCAGTGCCATGTCCACACCCAGGATCCGAACCGGCGAACCCTGGGCCGCCGAGAAGCAGAACGTGTGAACTTAACTGCTGCGCCACCAGGCCAGCCCTGCTTTTTTACTTTTTTTTAACTTTTAAATTTTTTTTAAGTTTTTCACTCTTTCGTAATAACACAGCTTAAAACACAAACATATTCTACAACTGTACAAAAATATTTTCTTCCTTTACGTCCCATTCTACAAGTCTTTTTATCTTTTTAAAATTTTTAATTTTTTGTTTTACTTTTTTAAACTTTTTTTGTTAAAAACTAAGGCACAAACATGTATATTAGCCTAGTCCTAAAAAGGGTCAGGATCATCAATATCACTGTCTTCCACCTCCACATCTTTTCCCAATGGAAGGTCTTCAGGAGCAATGACATGCATGGAGCTGTCATTTCCTGTGATAACAAAGCCTTCTTCTGAAATACTTCCTGAAGGATCTGAAGGTTTGCTGAACCAGCATCACCGCAGACAGGTGAGTAATGCGTTGTGCTACGACATTACGACAGCTACAACATCAGTAGGCAATAAGAATTTTTCAGTTCTATTATAATATGATGGGACCACTGTCCTGGTTCCATTATTGACCAAAATGTCCATATGCAGCTCATAGGGTACTTTGCCAAGGTTTCTTCAAAGAAAAAGGCTTCAGAAGTGAGAGAAAAATATGTCTAATCTTTTTATTCAGAGAAACTTTTAAAATGATGAGTTTGCGGTTTGAGTGAAATTATCAATGGAGGTTACAAAATCTACTAATAAAATGATCAAACTCTGCGCAGTATATACCCTCATAGGTTTGCGTTAGATACTATGAATTAAGTCCACTCCCAGGAGTAACATCCAGCAATGGTCACTTCAGTGGATTACTTATCCTGACACGCGGAGAGCATTTCTGTTTCTCCTAAAGTCTTCAGAACCCAGAAATCATGTTACTCTGCCAGCAAGGCCCTTCCTGTGTCATTGATCACAGAGGAGAAAAACACCCATATTAACTACATATGTTACCAAACAGAATCCTATAGTTTCCCAAGAACTCACTTCTATGAAAATCAATTCACCAGGAGGGATCAACAATAGCCTTTAACAGACTTGTTCCTCATCTCAGACGCAGCGTTTGAAAGCTAAGTTTTATGAGTTTGAAAAGGAGTTCGATTCAGTTTAAAAAGGCAATGAACTAACACATAGGAAGTATCATAATGTCCCCATCTCAAAAAGAAGAATGTCCATTAAAAAAAAGTGTTTAAAATTATCTGCACAGGGGGCCAGCCCGGTGGCGCAGCAGTTAAGTTCGCACGTTTCGCTTTGGCGGCCTGGGGTTCCACTGGTTCGGATCCCGGGTGAGAACATGGCACCGTTTGGCAAGCCATCCTGTGGTAGGCGTCCCACATATAAAGTGGAGGAAGATGGGCACCGGTGTTAGCTCAGGGCTAATCTTCCTCAAAAAAGAAAAAAAAACTCATCTGCACAGGAAAGTCTCTATATATTCTGAAAGACAGAAAGAGGTTTTGTTCTTGCTATCCTCTCAAAATCACAGCTTTATTTTCTTAACATGTGGCTGCCTGTACTATCTTCCTCACGCTGGCCTCAAGGTGCTTCCCCTATGCTTTCTTTTCCACTTGTTTTCTTGAATGATCTGTTTTAGTTATCATTATGCTGTCATTTGGATGAAGAATAGCTGCCCAATTTGGATACAGATTAGATTTTATAAAAATTCTATTACTGACGTCACTATAACAATTTAATTTATTCATTCATGCCTTATGAATGAGGATAAAAGGAAAAATGCCCTCTTCGTATACTTCATCTCTGTGTCCTACCACATGTGGTTTCCGTTCCCTATGCTGCAGGTCTCTTACCAGGAACACACAGATAGGTGCTCGCAGGCCAGCACAATGTTATTTTAAAATGTTAATCAGTTGCCAATATTTAAAAATCACCAGACGTCACATAAGAACTTGAGTTTTCAGCCTCTCTTCGAAAATCAGAAAATAAAGTAATACTGAGGACACATACAGATGGGAACAAGCACAGCAGAGCAGCAACTGCCTCCTTCCCAGGGAGCATGAGCTCTTGGGAGTCATCACAGTGCCCAGCTGTGAGAAAGCCCAAGCTGGCCATGTGGAAAGTCCTCAGTCCCCAAGACATCCCAGCCTAGGCACCAGGCAGGTGAGTAAAGACACCTTCAGGCGACTCCAACATCAGCTGCCATCTCACTACAAGTGTATGAGGCTCAAAGAGAGAACCACCCAGCTGGGTCCATCCACCATCAACACCATGAGAGATAATAATAAAATGGTTGTTTCAAGCTTCTAAGATTTAGAGTAATATGCTATGCAGTGATAGCTAAGGACTAAAAGATAAAAGTGCTCTTAACAAACTAAATATAATTGTTTAAAGTAACTTCTCCCTTTTTACTTGGGTTAACATAGATATCATAGGTAGTCACCATCTTATTTTTGTGTTTAGGTAGAAATCTAAAACACGAATGCGCCCAGGGAAAAAATGGAAGTGGACAAAAGCAATGCTTTAGAATCAGCTGTATTTTTTTGAAATAAGCTGGCTGGCAGCGCTTACAAATGTCACGTAGGTTACACAGTATTAAGTAGTAAAGCAGAAGGACAGAATTTGAAAACGGCTTGAATCTGGTTCTTTTCATGGGAATATCAGGTTCGCTCATTACTCTGTATTTAGCACCTAGCATAATGACTATTTTTTCTTAATGACTGAATCAATTAAAAGTAGAGTTTTTTTAAAATTGATTGAGGGAGTCTAAAAATATCTTTTCTATCGATAAAACTTTAGCTATTATTGATACAAAAGGAAGGTGAATGCCATCTTCAAAGTAACTAACACATTGGGGTTTCATACAAAATAAGTCAAGCCAGTCTTTACAACTTAATGAGAGGCAGACTCAGGAATAGGAGAAACAACTCTTAGCTTGTACTCCTTAAAGCTGAATTCTACTGATAGATATGCAAATCCAACCTTGAGCAAAGCACTCAATTGTTTGATGTCTCTGTTTGCTCATGTGTAAAATGAAGCTAATCATGCATTCCAGAAAAGAGCGTGATCATCAGGTTTAACAGTATACGGTCCCTACATTCAAGGTAGTAGAAGATCTGAATCTTGTGCCCGGCACAAAATTAAAGCAGCTGATACGCTTTTGCCCAAACAGAATTGTATATCCTCATTTCCTTCCCTTCTCTTCCCCACTTGTGACTCAAGCCAGATTTCATCGAGCTATTTTTGTAATTACTAAAATGCTGGAAATACAGCAGCAGGCCAGAAGCAAAGTAAAATGCAGCATCCAGCAAAAGAAAGAAAATCACGCTGAGTAACTGAAAGGCCATCTGCTTCTAACCGAGCTGCAGGGGTGAGGAAGGCAATCTGGGCTGTTACTATTTGTGTCTTCCCCAAACCGAACCCACCTGCATGTTGTCAGTGGCATCCCCAAGCAGTCCTCCAAAAGTGATAGCATTAGTTACAGTTGCCAGATAAATGAAGAGAATTGCTGAAAGAGCCTGAATATTTAAAGCATCATAAAAATCACTGGCAAAAAATGGTGCTTTCCTCTTTATGTCCTTAATTAGTCCACCACAGAACCTGGGTAGGGAGAAAGCAAACGTGACAATGTAAAATAACTTACCATCAAATTAACCAAGAGAAAACTTACTAAACGACAAAGAATTTGTATTTAAAATGCTTACATCAATGACAAGGTACTATTTAACCACTTAAGATAAAACCAGAAAACTATGGAGGGATAAGTTTTCTTCATCTGTCTCTTTTTTGGTCACCAAATTAGGCGTCATTCCCTAAAAACCAGATAGTTGGTCTTTAGATGAGAGTGAATTATGTAGATCAGTTAAAATTTCTCACTGTCTGAAGAAAAACATCTGAACATGTGAGCAGATCCTATAAGGTCTTTTATAAGCTTACCAGAGCTTCCTTTCCAGCCACATTCATTCATTCACTCCACAAATGTTTACTGTGCCCCTATGACATGCCCAGCACTATGGTGGGTGCTGGAGATACAACAGTGAACAACACAGGCAAAAATTCCTGCTCTCGTGGAGTTTACTTACTGTGTAGGGGACAAACAAAATAAGTAAAATGCATGCTGCTACAAAATCAAGGAAAAAGTTAAGTGGGGAACAGGGTTATAAAGTGCAAGAGGAGCAGTGGTTGGAATACTAGAGGAGCTGGAAAGGGGCTCCTGCACAGGTGGCTTTGGGGTAAGGACCTGAAGAAACGAAGGGAGGAAGTCATGCAGGTGTGTGATAGAAGAGCACTGTAGGCTGAGCCCTATTACAAATGTCAGCAGACCAGTCAACACGCCCTCCCAACCAAACTTCACACTTTAGCCTTCCCCAGGCTGTTCCTTCTGCCAAGGATACCCTCCATCAGAGCTCAACCTCCCTCTGAAGTCTTGACTCCCCCCTCATAGTTCAGATTTCCACTACGGGCTATCACACTTTATCAGTATTGTCTATCTGTCTGGGTGTCCTGCTTCAGTTTTCTCAGTATGCACAGGGCCGTGCGTGGTACTGGGCATACTGCAGACACTCGATGCATCTAGGAGAAGTGAAATATGGAAGAATGAAATCAGAGTCTAACTAAATAAAAATGTTAAATCCCAGAACTCATATCTGCAGACAAGAATAAGGATATTCCTAATGGAAATAGTTTGTAAATATTCGGAAAAAATGGGAGGAGAGAAGGTTTTATGTTCTCTATTCTTTAAGAAAGAAGGGGAGAGAAATACCATCCTTTTCATTTGGGAAAGAAACCCAAGGAGGTCATCAGGAGGAGAAAATAATTTTATTCAGATTCAAGTGCATATCAAAATGACATACTTCTGTGTTTTCCAAAAAATGCAGTGTTTTAAAAAAACTGAACCTTCATAAAATGAGTATCCTACTTAAAATGTTACTTAACCCCAAATGAAATGAAGACCTTAACAGTGGAGAAGAAAGAATTATCATGAAAAGAGATTTAGCTGAAGCAATCTGGGAAACCTGAATTCCCAAAGGCAGGCTAGGGAGACCATGACCTGTGAGTTACTCACTTCTGTAACATGTTACCCACTTTTGAGTAAATGAACAGGGAAGAGATGGAATCATGAAAGCCAAATGAGGAAGACTGTCACGTTACTCAGTCTTCCTGCCACATACATCCTGATCTCTCTGACTTTCTCTTTAACATCCCCTCACTCACTCCACTCCAGTCACTGGCTTCAGTGCCAATCCAGCTCACCCCAGGCATTCCGCTGTTCCTGATCCCCACCCCACATCTCCATGGTCTGTCTCTCACCTCTTTCAGGACTCTCCTCAAGTGTTGGAATTCTCTGTGAGGCCTTCTCTGACCACCCTATCTAAAATTGTAATGCCTTTCTCCCATTGCAAAACTCCCTAAACCATAAAACCATCACCACATTTCATTTGCTCATTGTTTGTCTCCCACCACAACAAAAGTAAGACCTGTAAGGACAGGGGATTTTGTTTAATTCACTGCTGCATCCCCAGTGCCTGTGACTAATAGCTACACTATAAATATTTGTTGGCTGAACAAATGTGAATAAAATGCTGACAGAAAGATAAAGGGAAATTTTGCTCTAAGGAGAACCTCATCATGAATGGCAAAAAAACTCCATCAGTTACCGTCCAGTTCGCTTCAATTCTTCACAATCAGCATGTCCTCCTCCTCCATGGCCTCCATCATGGGGCGTGTCCCCATTCATCTGGACATTCTCTCCACCTGAGTACATATTCTTTCTAAGCAAGACAACAGAGCCCAACAGAATATCAGTTTATTTTAGTCATCTGCTTCTTAGCTGTGTCATGCACCAGCTAAGGAAGAGATGGAATGAAAATGCTTTGGGAGACAGATCATTATTTCCTTCTGCCATCCTAACAGAAAACTCTTAAAGTATTATACTTAGAGCCAAGACAAATGACTGGATGAATAGAGAAGTTGAATGAATTGTGTAATGTTTCACCTGGAAATTATCAGATTTCAGAAAACAGCTTCTCCTAAAATATCTCATCCAATTTCTTAACCTCCTAAATCTACAAGGACTCATCTTGAGTAAAATGATCTTTCCACATGCACAGGGAGTCCCCTAGACATCCCCAAAGAATCAATATATTGATTCTATATATTGGATTGAAGATAGAAATACTGTGATATATTTTAATATCATAATCTGAGATTTTAATTTGCAATCACTGAAGAACATCACAACATATAACATTTATTTACAGTGTCAATGAAAAGCCAAACCAAGGCACATATGTGATTCATTTTAGATAATACATCAAGTTAAATGGAAATCTGAAAATATTAGGGGAATCGCCTGACCCCATTTCCTTTTCCAAAGACAACCTCCTTCTCAAGGATGAAAACTCCCAACTGCCTGATAATTTACCTTTTGTCAGATGATGGAAGACTCTTAGGAGGCTCTATCCTGATCGCTGGATCCCACTCTCCAGGAGGAAGGACAATGACTTCATCTAGGAACTCATCAATGCCAGCAATCAGGTCCTGCCTGTCTTTTGCTTTATAAGCAATGTCATGGAACACCTAAAGAATAAGAGAGGTGCTGATCCAACAAGAAAACTCTCTACAGGCCTCACACCATGTTAAGCCTGAAGAATGCAATCCATAATCCACCTTAATATTGCTATAACCATACTCTCATATTTCCTATTACTCAGCTTGTACCCAAATATTTCAGGATTCAGATTATGAACCCAAAGAATATAGGTAGAGGCATGAGAAACAGCTGTGTTCCTTTATATGTTTTTTTCTATCAATACTGTAAAACAACATTGCCTTTCCTCTCCCACTGGTGTGCACCATTACTGATATAGTTGCTATGGAAGCCAGATGAAAATGGTTTGGAGAAATATACAGAAGAGTCAGTCTCTGAAATAAAGACTATGGGGACAAACCATTGTTGATAACTCAAGAAGAAAAAGTTCAAGCTGAGTGTTAAGATCGGGTTAAGATCCAAACACTGCAGCTCTCAAACACACAAATAATGTTAGCTATTTAAAAAAGAAAAATCTGAGTTATATTGGCAAAAATAAAGCAAAGAGCTTTAAGTAGGTAGTCATCTGTCGATCTTTTAGCAAGGCAATTAAACCATCTAAGGCAGCAAATGCTTCATGTCTTTTATACAGATATCCAAAGAAGAAGATTCAGAATGCACATAATCCTTTGTCAATCATTCCAGTCTTCTAACCTAGCTGATGATCTGAAAGTCCTTTACACATAACCTGAGCCTTTCATACCTCATTTAAGTCAAATTCTTTCGTCGCCAGGAGAGAAGATGGCCCCTGTTCAACACTCTCACCTATTCTTAAAGATTGCTACTGAACTTCTTCTCCTTGAGAAGAACTTTTAAAAGCTATCAAACAAAAAACATGTAATGGTCTGGGGGTTGTGGGGTTGAACGGAGGGCAATACAAAGTGCCAGCATATCATCTGTGGCAGACATAGCCAGCCTCAATCTCATTTTCTCTTGCTACCTCCCACGACAGAGGCTGGAGAGCCAGAGTCACTGTCCCAGCCTCCCCTGTAGATAAGGACTGATAGTTCTGACCAATGAGATAAAAGAAAAAGGCTGTCTGGGAAAGCTTTAGAAGACCTGTTCAAAGAGAAAGATACAGCTAACATTACCCCTTGCCTTTCGTCCTGCTGTGAATACAGATGAGATGACTGGAGCTGACTGCTGTAGCCATCTTAAGACCACAAAGCAAAAGCCTTGGCTCTTGATTTATCATGAAGCAGGTAAGTTAAACCAACTCCAGCAACTACTTACCTCCAAATTTCCCAATATGTGAGCAAAATAAATCACAAATTGTTTAAGACACTATAAGTCAGGTTTTCTGTCACTTGGAGCCTAAAGTATTTCTAATTGATACATCTTAGGAGGAAGGATTTTTTAAAAAAAGAAAATGTAAACATACAAAAAAATAAATAAAAGAACCTACTGAGACACTTAGTTCCCTCAAGGGGAAAAAAACAGCACAGCTATGCATCAGTGCTCTCAGTCCCAGAATAAAGTAAGCATCTGAGTAATCATCAAATAGAACTCCATAACTAAATGCCCTATTCTCCACTTAACACATGGAGAAGCTCACAAATCAAGCAATGAAGCAAAAGCAAATAATTTGGTAAAATAGTGAGGTAGAAAGACACAGAAACAGAAATCAGTGATCTCTATTCTAATAGTCTTTCTCCTACTACGAGACTAGTTTGAAGTTTCATCATGTCTAAAATGTGTGTGACATTCAAGCTGTTATGAGAGAAAGGTCATAACTCCAAAGTAATAGATATTCTGCAGGAAGAGTTGCTAATGCGTTTTAGTATGTATATCATTCCTTCCCACAAGATAAGAAATCCATAAAAACAGTTACATACTTTTTAATACCTAAGAAATGCATTATCCATTTTATTATCCATTATTTTATAGAACACATCATTTCTGAAACAATATGGTATATGGACACTTGAATTCCCAGAATGAATATATTAAACATTTAAGAGAGAAAGTTAGTACAGTGACTTGAACGTTTAAAAAAATATTTAACATATATCAGTTTCAAGAATTGAAAATGTTTAGAAAAAGAAAGGAAAATATGTTTTATTCCAACATAAAATTTATTTTTTGAAAACTATGCAGATGTCAGCTCATTTGCCATGAACGACTGTGCCTCATGTTAGAAAGAAGGCAGTAACCACATAATTCTAAGTGAATAAATTGTGACAGCCAAATCACAGTATGAAAACAACACAAGTAGGATATTCATGGATCATCGTCTTCCCCATTCCCTACCTCGTCAGACATCAAGGTAGCAATGGCTCTGCCAATCTCATGGTAGGACTTGGCTTTCCCCTTAGGACCTAAGAGAATGAACAAGAACCTAACGGAAGAGGAAAGAAGCAAAGGCTATAAAACACAATTCATCAAAGTCAATATACATAAAACTGTTTATCCTAGTTCATAAAAAGGCTAGGTCTAGAATCCATCTTTAAAACAAAGGTAACAGTCTTGGTGATATGAAAGATACTCTTGCACACTATCATGAAATACAAATCATTGTTCAGTTTATTTGGAAGCAAAGGAGAATTTAGCATGGAAACCTGAGAAGCTTCTTCACTGAGAAGGAAAGGTTCACTTTATGAGTCACTCAATCTTTCTTTACTAAACTTTCTCCTCTCTCCATTTCTACTGACTTTCAGAATCTTTGGAGAAAACCTATTAAGCACAATAACTAGAAAGACTTAGTACATCTTCAGATTTCTCTGACTTTCCCTTATCCAATATGGGCAGTGACAAATGATCCTCTCCATACTTCTAAGAAACGTTTCTACTCAGAAGTGCCTGGGAGTCAGCAAAAACCAAGTCCTCTACAAGTAAGCCTCACACTGACAGCCAAAGTAAAGAAAGAGAAATATGAGAGAAATTCAAAATAAAGCATCATTCACAGACAGTTAAAAGTCTTCTTGTGTGTGTCCTCATTTTCCTTTCCAAACTTGTTTTCTTGATAATGCATAAGCATTGCTCCACAGTAAGTAGGTCCTGAAACTTGCAATAATGAATTTCTCCCCATTTAGGTTCACCTCTTATCATGTTGGAAGGAATCCCTCACTGGTCACAGGGAAAATGTGCATGTCTCAACTGAGGAGAAGGAAACCTGCTAACTAAATGAATAAGAAGAAAATATACAAAAGGCACCAGATAAATCCCTGCCTTGCTTATGACCATATCTTACCTAATGTGGAGATAGTGAGAACAATAAAAATGACCACATCATATATTTGCACAGCTTTTTAGAGCTTGCCAAACATTTCACATTTATCACCTCATTTAAACTCCATACAACCCTTTGCAGTAAGGGCAGGTATCCCATTCTCATTTAGTGATGAAGAAATTGAGGCTCAAGAAGGTTAACGGATGAGCCCCCAAACTGTGCCTGGTAAATGACAGAGAGCAGATAGGCCTTCTTACCTCCTCTTCTTTACAGCACACAATTCTACCTAATATTACCTGACCAACCTATACAATATACAACAGAGTTGTGATTCAATAGAGAAAAGCTATCCAACAATGACTTCCATAGGTCTCCCTGGGAAAAGATGTTGTGGATACTTAGCTGAGGACAAGAAATCTTAGGTGAGATTTTATGGGCCTAGGAACAGCTTAGGACTTTCTTAGTAAAATTTATTTTTTACTTATTTATTTATATACCTCACTTTAAATAAAAAAGGATTGACAGCAAGTACTCTTCAAAGTGTTAGAGTCTGTTCCAAAAGGCCCTTGAATAAATAATTCCTTTATTTTTTCATCATATAATTCAATCCAAAGGGGAAAGAAAAAAGAAACGAATTAAGAATGTAAGAAGGTATCCAAAAGTTTGACTACTCAGACTTTACACTAGAAGAACCATAAAACCATTCAGTATTTGCTTAGAAACCAGTTCTGGAGTGGGGCGGCACCCTCACTTTCAAGTGTTATCACAGTAGATAAAATAGCAAAGCAATCAGCAGGCATGAAAGTATGTCCAGGTATGAAGGAAGTCATTATTAGAATTGGACTTTAGATCTAACAGCAAAGTTCCATTGATACTAGAACTTTTCTTCCTTTGAAGATGGACCTAAATTATACACCACTACATATAGTATTACAAAGTACTTCTTTATGACAGTAAAATGTATTTTTCCAAAGGGACTGATCACATATTTGAGTGCAACACATGCAAAAAATATTTAACCACTAAAGCAAAATACAAATCCCATTAAGAAACACCTATAGTTCTGGCCACATTTCCCAATTCTATTGGCCTGGCTACCAATGGCCAGCTGCCAGGCAGGACAATAAGGGCATAGTTTTAGGCATAAGGGGACAGATACAGTGCAGAAAGAGAAAATATTAACACCTGGATCCTTTACTTAATATATTTTGAAATAATGGGTTTCCTTTGCCTGCCATTTTTTATTATTTCAGTGTATCTAAATATTAGCTTTTAGTAATACATAGTATCTAAAACATCTCCAGAACCACTCTGTGCCTCTTCCTACCTCTCCCTAGTATCCCCATCATGATTATAGTTTACAAATACACATTATGAAAACACACATTTATCAACTGACACATGAGTTCATTATGAGGATGACGATATGGCAACAAAGCCAAAGTACTGTCTTGTTAGAAAGTGAGTAAAATACTCCCAGTAATTAATAGTCCTCAAATATAAACTTTGGTAGACGATGGGTAACTATTCCAAGAGCTGATAGAGTAATGAATCTCTCAGTTAAATCCTGTGAGATGAGGGCATACATTTTCTATAAATATTTACTCTGGTCTCTGCTAAATAGTACCAGAGAATGAATGGAAGTAGCAGACCAATGATGCCTATAACATATATCATAGCAATAAACCCAGTATATGAGAATAATATTGTTTCAGTAACCTAAATATAAAGGCACAATTCCTCTTTCCAGGGTAATGTAAATTTTTATTTAAAAAGCCATATACATATTCTTTAATGGAAAATCATCAAGTGCCAAATAGAAATAACATGTTACATAGTTAAAATTTTCACATGGCACCAGTCAGGAACCATTCAGTAAATCCACCTCTTTAAAATGATATAGAGATGAAATCTAGCCATCTGTAACTAGCAGGAAACACCATCTCAAGTCGAATTTCATCTGTAGGAACAGAGACCCTTAAGAAGACTCTAATTTGGACTGTATTGTTGAAACAAGGATGTGAGATCTGGGAAAACTAACAACACAGACAACTCATCAAGTTGAAGTTCCCTCTGTCTGAAACATGTTCTCTCCCCTTTAACCCTCAAAGAAGCAAAAGCTGTTACAACTTTTATGATAGAAGTACATCTTGCCAAACTCAGCTTTTATAATGTACTGAAAACTCCTTTCACAACCAAAGCTGTTTTTTGTCAATGGACAGATGTTATTTTTAACCAGAAGCTTTTTTCTTTATTAACAAATAATAGTAAACATACATTTGTGTGGCTGGAAGAGCACATCCCATGTTGACAGCTCAGAGAAAAAATTAATTTATGTTACTGAGTTCTTTTTATTTGCTCATAATAGAAATAAGTCATAGTTAGAATTTTTAATAGTGCCTAGTTGTCTCGAGAATCTTCATGGGGCCCTTGTACCCTTGTGCACTTTTTCATTTAACTAATTATGCCTGTGGAGGATGCCTCTAGCATTCTCAACAACAAAAATTAGTACCAGATGATCTGTGTCCGGAACCAATGGACTACACTCACATTCACAAAATAATTATAGGCAGAAACAGAGCATAATATCAGAAAAAGAGCCAGTCTTCCTAAACCACTCAATCTTTTCAGAAAGGATGTGCACCCCCCTCCTTCCTGATATATCACAGCTATTTCTAGAATAAACTCAGCATGTACCAATCCTTTAGTCCCTTCTCTCAAAATAACAGTGAAGCAAATAACCCATTATTCATATTTAGCAGCTCTGGAAAATGTGGCTAAACTGTAGCTTCCACAATAGATTCGTGAGGACCACAAACCCATCCTAATCGACCACATTACATATGGAAAACAGCAGTTAGCAACTGGATTGTCAGACAAGACAAAACTGAACTAGTGGGACGTCCATCCCAACCCCTCTAATAGGTTTTTTTTTTTATGGTTTAGACAATTAAAGACAAACTACTTCTTTTAGGCAAATAATTATTAACATAAGATGTATATTAATTTACAGCGAGACTAAAAGGATAAATATTCTAATTTTTTAGAAGGCTAGAGCTCACTGAATAACTATTTGCCTTAGATGTGCAAATCAAGGTCAGAAAAGGACAACTGATCAGGGACTTTCATTATTCTTCATGGGAAAACCCTAAAGTATTTTATTCTAATCCATTCTAGATATCTCTTTAGACTCTCCCTCTCAGTCTGGCCTCAGAGGCAGAAATCTGCAGTTCTATTTCTAGCACTGACAGCGAATCTTCCCTGTGCCTCCATCTCTCAACTACAAAATGGGAATAATATTTATCCCCTACATAGCTCATAAATATGAGTCAGTGGTGGCCTCTATGAATAGATATAAGATGACAGCAAGCAAAGTGTCTGCAAGATGGTAGGAAAATCTTAGGTGTATCCTACCAAGTAACGAAAGATCAAAGGACTGAGTTTATGTGCTTTCCCACGAATAGCAAGAAGATAACATCCACCCAGTTGGTAGTGGTCCAGCTGCAAGCAGAAAGCTAAACTAGATCCACCAACTAACAGAGTAAATAGAGAAATGTGTAAACCAACAGAAGGGGAGCTGCCAGAGCTGCACTTCCTAAAACATGCATTGTAGCAATACTGTTTATTATAAATAGTAATAACAATGAGCATAAGAGCAAAACTATCCTCCACCTTTAAAAGAAAAAATGACCATCACACGATGTGTATAAAAACAGACTTGTCAGGTCTCCCTGCAGTACAACAGGGTAGCATGCACGTTACAGCACATCACTAAGTGCAGAGGCAGCCCTTCACAACCACTCCACATTCCTTGTGGGATTTCCTTTATTGGATTTCACAGGATGCAGCCATTGTAAATGGCCCCACATTACTCATACACAGAAAGCTAATGAGACTCCCTACTCAGTGATTACAGCTTGCACTAGTTCGGAAGACAGCAAATGGATAAAACTATTTCCTGGAAAAATGTTAACATGCTAGGATATATCGCTCAGATTATTGCCCTGAAATAGTTTTATTACATTATTGAATTACATTCTCTTGAATTGCTGGGCTCCTTTTGTTAATTCAAATGATGTTGTATTTCACCTCTCGACTAGCACCACCCTCCAGAACAGAGAAAAAGAATGAGCCAGACAGGAGCAGATGATAAGAGGAACACAAAAATGGTCATGATTGGAAACTCAATGAACTCATATTATTGTTAAATAAAAAGCCTTTTAAAATATTTTTTATTTGTGGCTTCCCAAGAAAAATAACAATAAAAATGAGAAAGCAAAAGCAACTTAACGTGTCTTGGCATGTTTTTTTCTTTCAAGCCCCAGTAAAATTAGTCAGAAGAGACATAAATAAAACCATAGGGGCACACGAGCTGGACTTCAGCCATGATCTGAGTCAGCCAGCTGTTCGCCAGGTGATGGCTCAGATAGAACTGCAAGGCTCTGCTGGAATGTTTTCAAGCAGAAAGCTAAGTTACAGAAAACACAAATCACGATAATCCCATTAACTGCATAAGCTATGATCATCTCTTTTCCTCTGCTATTTGTCCAATCACTGCTCCAAGACTTACTCCTAGTTTAAGTGTCTAAGAAGTATAAAAACGTGGGGAAAAAACACCTGTATGATCAGAAAGAGTGGCCTGTGATCTATGAATTGGGAGGCCACAAGGAAATCTTCTAATTTTCCTCTAAGTTGGCTCAAAAACCATCTTGAGCCCCTGGTCACGGCCAGGTAACCATGCTCAGACCATCTGAGATCACTGAGGGGGAGTCATAGCTCTGCATGCTCAGCCAGGGAAAGCTAAAGAAGGGAAAAGTCACCTTTGCTGGCTCTGAGACTCACAGAAAGCACAACCCCTCCCCCCGAGAAAGTTCCTGTTCATATGATAATTTTCTGATGTTAACTTGAAGATTACAAGCTTCTCTTTAAACTCTTCTTCATCACAAGTTTAAGTGAAGCATTAACTTCTATTCACCTATCACACTCGGTAAGTCAAGTTTCCTAACTTCACTGAGCTCAGTTTGAGAGAGAGATAAAGAAGATGACTTCTAAGGTACTGTGCAGTGCAATGAGGACATGAATGTAATAACAGTAATATGCTTCCTGTTAAAATAAAAATTTATGTGACATAACACATAACAGTAAAGTGAGCAAATTTAAGTGTACAGATTTAATGATTTTTTATGTGTGTGTATATATATGTGTATACATATATACACATATATATGCACCCACTACCAATTTTCTGATATACAGAGCAAATGAAAACAACTCTGACCTCTGAATCATTTACCATCTGTATGATCTTGGACAAGTTAAACTCTCAGACTCAGTTTCTTTATCTGTAAAATCCAAATACCTATAATTTGTCTTTAAAATATTGTGAGGATTAAATAGACTAATCTGTAAGAATAAACTAGTACATTACTCAATAAATTATCATAATGGTTTTTATTATTACTACTATGTAAGTGCCAAGTAATTTGATAGCATGAAAGTCAGACTAAACCATATTTCAGATTAAACCTCTGTGGATGTATCCTCATTCTACTGATTCTGTAGCCTGAGGGAGAGGAGATTTCCCTGTGAGTGACCACATTGGAGATCCAAGCAGGTCAGGGAGCAGCTTACCTTGTGGGTACAGGGACCTCAGTTAGGGCACCCAGCATGACAGCCTGCTGTAGCCGAACAAAGGCAATGAAAGGAGTATCCAAGAAGTCAACCTCCCCAACAAGCACATTGGAAGCTTCTGCATCACGTGGCAGTTTTTTCATGAACTTATTCTTCAGCTGTATGGGAAGAGCCAAGAAAACACAATTTATCTCCAGAGATGGGAACAAGCAGAGACACTCCATATATCACCCAAAGAAATTCCTTTATATGAGTCTATATACAACAGGCCCTAGCTAGCCATTTTTCTAGTATGTTTGACCATTCTATTATAATAAACATTTCTCTGTACTTTGGTTTCAAAAATATTTAGAGTGTAATCACAGGTTTACACATAAAACAGTGTAGTATAACTCCATTCATTTATTTATTCCCTCACTCAGTATATATGTGTTGAGTCCATGGTGAGCCAGACACAAATATAAGCCGTAGAGATACAGGGATGGATCGACTGACTACATGACCTCCTTGCATTCATCTTCCAGCAGGGGAGAAATAAAATATAATTTAAAGTAGTGATAAGTGCTAAGAAGGGAAAATAAAACAGGTAAGAGGGTACTACATTAGACAGGGTGGTCAGGAAAGACCTCTAAAGAAATACATTTTACATTGGAGTGACAGGACAAACTATGCAAAAATCTGGGCAAAGAACATTCTAGGCAGAGAACAGCAAGTGCAAAGCCTCTGAGACACGAAGGAGCTTGGCAGTCAGAGGAATAGGAAGAAGGCGAGTATGGTGAGAGAGGAAGTAACAAAGGAGAGAAAATAGCAGCAAATGAAGTTGTATAGATAAGGAGGGACCAGTTTGGGATGTTTTACGTGAGACTTTCCTACTAAAAGTCCAAGTGGAAAGGTGGAGTAGGAAGACATAAATTTAGGAGCTATCACCATGTGAACAGTATTTAAGACCATGAGAAAAGATGACACAACCTTGGGTGTAAGTGTAGAAAGAGAAGAGGGATAAGTTCTGAACACTGGGCCACTCCACCCTTTATAGGAATGAGGGGAGATATGGGCAGAGGACACTGAGAAGAGCCACCAGTGAGGTAGGAGGAAAGCCAGGACTTCACCCAAGAGTCAAGTGAAGAAAGGGCTCAATAAGGAGAGTGAATCTCCTGAGTCAAAGGCAGCTGAAAGTTCAAATAAAGCAAGAACCAAGAATGGACCAATGAATTTTGCAAGATGGAAGTTCTGGGTGATCTTGGCAAGAGCTGTTAGAGTAGACACCAGAGTACCCAGTAAGAAAGGAGACGTGAAGAAATGGAGACAGGGTGTAGAGATAATTATTATGACAAATGTTGCTACCAAGAAAAGCCAAGCAATGGGGATGTATGTGGAGGAAGGCATAAAATAGGGGATTTTTTTTTAAGGGGAAATATGATAACACTGCAGAAGGTTAATGAGAATGATCTAGTAGAGACAGAATATTGCTGCAGGAGAGGTAATGGATAAGTGCACAAGCAGCTCAAGCAACTTTGAATTATTGAGAAGAGACAAGATCCTCACCCAAGCTAGGGGGTTGGCTTCACACAGAAACACAGAGAGCCTATCAATCATAACTAGGGAAGGCAGACCATATGGGCACACTTGGGGGTGATCTGGGAGATTTGGTGAGATGAAGATGAGGGCTTCTGAGGACTCATATTTTTGCAGTGAAATACAAGTGAGCTGCTGGTGAGGAGGAGGAAGAGGGAGGTATGTGGGAGTTTGAGGAGAGAGGTAAAGGTATAAAGTGGTTTTATTGGATAGTGAAGGTTGCTTAACACAGTCACTTTGAAAGTTTAACATGTAGGTGTTATTCTTTCCTTTCCCCTCGGTCCCCAGCTCCCACTTGGAACAGGACTGTTCAATCATCCTTCAGTGAGTGGGAAATGCCTCTGACAGTTCAAGGAAAACACTTCAACAATCGTGGACAGATGGAGATAAGAATTTTGCAGGACCATATGAAAGGCACAGACTTCTGATGTATACCTATCATCCAATATAAATGTCTCCCCCTTCAAGTGAAAAGTTACCAGTGACCTTCATATATTTTGCCACAGATTACTGCTGAGATGGGAAGTGGCAGGCACGGCCCAATTTTCCCTGTTAATAAAAAGGTTATAGCAACATTTTATTTTCAATTTCCTTTTTAAGAGCTCTTAATTAGGGAAAATAGGTGACATAAGAACTGATCCCTAAAGCTCCATCAACCTCAGTAGCATTTTTATAGGGATTTTTTCTTTAATTTATTACTTCATATAAGAAGAAAGCTGTGAGGCAAAAAACAATGACATTGGGGTTAATAATTTCATGGAAACCAAAAAAACAAAAAAAGCAAAGGCAAGATATATATTTTTAGATGTTAGGAACATGACTACTTCTAAGCAGTAAGGGAATTTTCCAAAGTTTATACCATTAATCCTCCAAGAAATGCTAATATTAAAAAAAAATCTGTTTACATTCTACAGATTTGAAAAGAGCAGCCATGGGAAAGATTTAAAAACATCAAATTGCCAAAACTGTTATTACCGCCAAATGAATTGCAGTAATGAATTGTTCTCTATAACACAGAGTAGAGTGTGGGGCATGGCCAAGTGGCCCAAACATATAACAAAACATCACTGCTAGTAACCTTCCTCCAACTCTTTCCAGAGAGAGTTCCCATTACCAACAGTGGACATGACGCTCTATACTAATCTGATTTTACTTCCCATTCTCCTCAGCAGACTCTTTGCTCTAGTCAGGCAGGTAATCCGATCATAATCCCCTTCTGTTTGATGTCCTTAGACTCCCACACTCATTACCAAAAACTGTCCTTTCCTCACTTCCACCTTTTCTAAACATCCTTCAGAGCTTTTCTACCATCTCAGCCCACTTCCTTGGGAACTCCAAAAGCACCCATTTCTGAATCATACTTCTACCAACGCTTAGTCTTTTCCCCAAGTTTCTTGAGAGTTAGAACAGTTTATCCTTCATTGAACTGAACACCTACTTTGTGCATAATTCAGCTGTAATAAGTATTATGAATGGAAGGAATGAACTCTGTAGCACCAAAAATCAGACCAAAAGACCATCAAACGCCCAGGAAAGTTAGAAAGGTTTTAAAGGCTCATCCTAGAACCTACTCTGTCTGGATATGTCACTAAGCAATTATCTGACTCACAATGCAGAATATCCCATAGTCGATTATGTACCTTTACGAAATGTCTTACTAGTACTATGGTACATTTACTGAGATTCCTGTACCCAAATTGGTAAATTGCGGGTCTATTTTTAAGGCCAAAGGAAATAAACTGTATTCTACATGCTCTCAAGAGAAGGAGTTGTAAAGACTAGTCCCTTTAGATCATCATATCTCAAACTGTGTTTGTGAAATACTAGTATTCTCAGAGAAATTAATAGCTATTCTAAAGTAAAAACGTGTGGAGCCTGAGGTGCCCCAGAACTCAGGCCTTGGATGGCTTTTTTCTCGCTATGCACACTCCCTGGGTGAGCTCATCAAATCTCATGCCTTTTAATACCATCTATATGCTGATGACTCACAAATTTGTATCTTCAGCCAGGACCTCTTCCCTAAACTACAGACCTATAACATCTCCACTCGGATGTCTGCAGGCATTTCAAACTTCACATATCCAAAACTGAGTCTTCTTGATAGCACCCCCAAACAGCTCTTCCTACAGTCTTCCACATCTGGCTAATGGTAACTCTGTTCTTCCATTGCTCAGGCCAAAACCTTGCTGTCATCTTCAACATTTCTCTTCCTCTCACACCCCATGTCCATTCTATCAGCAAATCCTGTTGGATCTACATTCAAAGCATATTCAGAATCTGACCATTTCTCACCACCTTCACTGCAACCACCCTGGTCCACATTACAATCAGCTGTCTTCTGGATAATGGCATTGGTCTCCTGGCTGGATTATCTATTTCTGCTCTTGCCCCCAGTCTATGTCACACCTCTGCTCAAAACCCTCTGTTGGCACCTATTTCACTAAGTGAAAGCAATGTCATTAAGATAAGCCACAACCCCCGCACCATTTGGCTCCTCATCAGTTCCCTGACCCTATTCCCTACTGCTCTCTCCCAGTCTTCCGCATGCCTGCCACTCCAGCCTCCATGTCCTCCTTCAAACATGCCAGGCACACTCTTACCTCAGGGCTTTTACTGCCTCTGAATGTAATGTCTGGCTGCCTCTCTCCCTCATTTCCTTTGAATCTTTATTTAAAAGTCACCTTCTCATCAGCGCGTCTTTCCCTGGCCACATTAGTTAAAATTTCAACCTCCTTCTCCCCACAGATTCTTCTTACTCCTCTTTCCCACTTTATCTTTTTCTTCTTTGTACTCATCACAGTCAAACATGCTATATGTTTTACTTGACTTCTTTATTACCTGCCTCCCCACTAGAATGTAAGTTCCATGAAGGCAGGGATATCTGTCTATTTTATTCAGTGTTGTATTCCTAATGCCTAGAAGAGTGCCTGAGGAGAAAGTTTGAATAAATATTTGTTGAATGAATGAATGGTGGTTATTATTTCTGCTTTTTCCAATAAGCTTTCCTAACTCCTCTCTTAAAGTAGTAGGGTCCAGACATCCCACCATGACCCAGGCCATCTAAGTGGAAAAAAGGCCCAAATGTGGCCAGTCTTAGTAAACTCCTCCCCTGATAACAGTGATTGGTCCAAAGAATGGATGCGTGACCCAAGCAAGGGCCAAACCCTTTTGGACAATCAATATTTTCATGTGTAAAAATCAATATTCTCCCTTTCATCTGAGCTTGTTCCCCTCCATGTTGAAAGGGCCTGTTACAGGACTGGCCATACTAGGAGAGAATGAGGTCAGCACCCAAAATGAAACAGACAAAAGCAGGAGAGAAAATGGATGAGAAGAGAGATTGCTGAGTCCCCAGTGCCAGGCCCTGAGGTTCTGCAGCTTCTCCATCCTGCAATCTCATCAAGAATTCTTACCAGTTACATAAGCCAGAAAATTCTATTTGGGACTTAAATTAATCGGAGGTGATTTCTGTCTACTGCAGAGTCCATATCCTTCACAAAAGTGTACTTGTCAAATAAGTCTGAAGAACATCAATTTAAATAAAATTAAATACTTTTCTATTCTATAGACTATCTCAGAGCCT